GGGGGGGGGGGTCACGGGATTGGCGTGAGGGTGCATGGTGGAGAGTGAGCATAAAATATTGTGGTGGTGGGTGTGGGTGCAGAGGGGGCAGTTGGTGGGCGGCTGCGTGGCAACTGTGCGTGGGCGGCAGGCTGGCTGGCTGACTGGCTGGCTACTGCTCAGGGGAAGGGGGGAACAGACCCAACTACAGACGTAGCTCGGCGTGGGAGCAAACGACGAGCTATGGCGTTGCGGTCTCGTGGAGAAAGGGATGTGCGTCTGACTCGGTTGCAGACTGGTCGTCCTGCTGTCCCACGTGCTGCCCATGGCCGCCGTGTGGGCGCCTTCCGTGTTGTCTCCAGTGACCAGGGCCGCGGACAGAAGCGCGGCCGTAGTCGTGCCCGTGCCCGTGGCCATGCCCGTGGCCATGCCCGTGGCCGTGGCCGTGCTACTGCTGCGGTCCGTCTTGCTCCACTGCAACCTATGCCGAGTAGCGCGGGCAGTGGTCGTGGTGGCCGGGGCCGGGGCCGGAGCCATGCCACCGGGTCCATTCGCAGTCGCAAGCTCGCAGGACGCCAACGTCCGAGCCCGCCACAGGCTGACGTTGGCTCACCGCCACCACCGGCATCGCCGTCGCTTTCGTCGGTGTCGGACGTGTCGTCGGTCTCTGATGGTGATGGCGGGACAACGGGTGGCGGCGACGGAGATGGCGTGGTGGCGAGTGACAGTCACGCTGCCCGGCTCTCGCCGACGTCGCCGATGTCGCCGGGTGGGCGGGGTTGGAGCAAGTCCCCAGCGCGAGGTGGTGGCGGCTGGGCGTCGCGGTCGCAAGATGACGAGTCGGTTGGGTCAGAGGACGAGACGGCAGCAGAGCTGACCGCCAAAGCAGCGGTGGCGATGGCGGCCGGCGACAACGAAGCCGCCAAGGCCAAGTACGAGCAAGCGATGAAACTGCGGGCGCAGCGGCACGGGCGGACGTCGCTGGCAGCCGCACGTTCGTACTGTGACATGGCGCTGTGGGCACACGGTGAGGGAGATACCGTGGCGGCCGAGCAATACCTCCGCGACGCGCTGGCCATCCGTGAAGAGCGACTCGGGCCCGGGCACGAAGAGACGGTGACGGTGATGTACAATCTTGCACTGCTCCTACACGAGACCGACCGCCACGGCGCGGCCGAGGTACTCATGCGTGACGTTGTCCGCCTCCGCAAGCGCGGCCTCGGCAAGTACCACCCCAAGGTCGCCAAGTCGATCACCTTTCTGGCCGAGATCTTGGCCGCCATGCAGACGCTTGATGATGCCGCTGAGGCGCGTCAGCTGTTTGCCTCTGCCAAGTCGATTGCGGTCCGTGCCTGTGGTGCCGACCATCCTTTGGTTGCACAGATTCTGGAGCACATGGCTGCGCTGGTCGAGCCCGAAGACGCGCTCCCGATGCTCACTCACGCTCTCCGGATCCGGCGCGACCATTCGCGCTTTGGCCCACCGTCAGCCGAGCACGTCCAGCGCCTGTTAACCAAGCTCCGCGCCGTCCGCGATCAGAAGAGCGCGGTCATCATGCGGACCGGCTCAGGCAGCACTGTTATCGCCCTCCCGTCGCACTATGCCCCGCCCAAGGTTTGCCATGTATTCGGCCTGCCGCCGGTCGAGGATCCACCGCCAAGGCGAACACCCTCGCTCTTTCGCCAGGCGCTGCAAGCCGCGGTTGGAGACGGCTCGCCGGAGACGGCTGCTGACGAGGACGACGACGACAGCGGCGAAAGTGGTGATGGCAAGGGGGAGAGCTGCGAAATTTCGAGCCCAGACCCGAGCCCGCTGGTGGTGAGTCTGTTCTCGGATGCCGAGCTGAGCACGCTTCCCGACATAGAGTCGAGAAACGCGTCCGCGGCTGTGCTGGATGGCAGATCGGCTGAGAATGGAGAGGGGGTTGAGGTCAAGAAGAAGAGCAAGAGCAAGAGCAAGGGGAAGAGCAAGGGGAAGGGCAAGGGCAAGGGCAAGAACAAGGGCAAGAACAAGGGGAAGAGCAAGGGGAAGAGCAAGGAAAAGAGCAAGGGCAAGGGCAAGAGCAAGGGCAAGAGCAAGAACAAGGGGAAGAACAAGGGGAAGAGTAAGACCGACCCGCCTGCACCCGATGCGATGGAAGATTCGGTCGATCAATCGGCAATGTACAAGGGCAAGAGCGAGGCCAGTGTCCAAAGCGTGGTTCTTACATGAGCCGTCCGCGTGGTGCGTCGGATGATCCCGATGGCACTGGCCGAGGCTCAAGCGTTGTTGCGCTGTATGCCGTGCTGTCGCGAGCGACGGTATCGTGCGCGACGGTGTGTTACTGGTGAGTACGTCGCCGTGTAGCAATTTGTATTGATGCGACTCATCCTTTCAAGTCAATCCGTGGGCTGCCTGCATCGCTTGCAGCAGCCATCGTCGCCGGGTGAGTGGGAGCCGCCCTTGGTCCGTGGGCACCACCGTGAGCGGCCTGTCTCTGGATCGACATCGTATCCGCTCATGCCGCTTTGGGCAACCTGCCGTATGGCGCCGCTCGCCCTCTGCTGCACTTTCACCGGAGGGTACACGATCTCGTGCTGTCTCGCATCGCCATCCCACCATCATTCCATCCGCCACGCAAGCCTCGACCAAGGTGAGAGTATGTTCCTCTCCGTCTGCGGCTGCTCTCTGCCTGGCAGCGCCACCCATACACTCACCCTCTCTCTCCCTATTTCCTCTCCCCCCTCCCTCACGCGCCATACTTGTTCATTGTCCGCCATACCACCACACCGCCGCGTCCACAAATCTTCAAGAGTTGCGTGCAGAGCCACCGCCGTCAGGTCCTCTTCCGCCTTTGCGGTGATGACCCCCCCCCCTGGCCGGCCGACGGGGAAACCGAACCAACCACGACCTTTTTTTCTTTGACCGAACGACCTGACGACCTGACGACCAGTACGACCTTCCATTCATAGGTTGTCGCTCACCTTGCTTGTCGCCTGTTCCACTTCACTCACACATACGCACACTCACACACTTTCGCGCCACAGTCCATGCATCGGACGTCGCAGCAGTTTCTGGGTGCCGTGCTCGTCACCACTGGAAGCCTCACCCTTGCGGCGCTCGGCTGGGCCGCATGGTCTCGTCATCGCAGGTTGCAGTCCCGTACTCGCGTCCGGGCCGTACTCCTCGACAAGTCCGAGAGCAAGATCAAGAGCAAAACCAAGGCCACTGTTGCCTCACGCAGGTCGCGCCCGCAGCTTTCGGTTGCTATTCCAGGGGAGGAGGATACAGGTTGGGCCGGGGCTGCCTCTCGCCGTGTGCCCGAGGCCGAGCTGGCGACGCCGGCGGCGGCTCTGGACGCTGGTTCCTTGTCGGCACCGGTGCTCCCGTCGTCGATCTCGGTTGTGGCCGCTGTTGCCGATGCGCCACCGCTGGCAGCCGGCCTGACCTTGCTCCCGCCGCCGTTGACCCCTCTCGGCGCAGGATCGGACGAAGTCTTTCTTGAAGGCGCGATTGTGCGCAGAGAGGCGTACACCGCCGCCCGCGATGTGTTGGCACATGTTCTTGCTGCAGTGGTGCGTGATGCGCCAGCGCTCGACGCCCACGGCGCGCTCGGGCTAGAGCTGGACCCAACGCAGGCCGTCACGCCCGAAGCGCTGACTGTGCCAGGAACTGTTGCTATGCACGGCGAGTATGTGTTCAACTATACCGATCCCGACCGACGGGCTCGGATAGCCGCTGGTCTCGGGGCGGCAATGGGGCCAGAGCGCGAGTCGGGCATTCCACAGCTTGGTGGTGCGAAGCTGCTTTCGATGATGCACCGCCCGCCTGTTGCAGGCATCGACTCTTGCGTGTACCACTTGGGCGTGCTCAAGCAGATGGATGACGGCCCGTGCGGATACCATGCGCTGTACAACGCACTTGTCGGCATTGCGCTCTGTCAGGTGCGGCTGAACGACGTGGGCGCGCGCAACCACGCGCTTGCGCTCTTCAACGCCCGCACCCCGTTCTGGTGGTTCTACGCTCACCTTGAGGCTGCGCTGGTAGTCGAGGCCCGCTCACGCCTTGCCCGCTACGGCAGCGAGGCTTTTCCGTGGCGCGAGTGCGATGTGCGGTCCGGGGTTCTGGAGCGAGCGCATGTGGCGTGGCTCCTTGCGCATCATCCGCTATTTGTCCGGGCCGGTGCCCATTTGTTCTCAGTCCTTCCCGCGAGCAACCCGCAGGAGATCGCGAACGGGTCGATGTCGCTTGATGAGCTCGACACGCTCGACGCGGTGCTGGAGCACTTTGCAGGCCTGCCGCACTATGCGCACGCCTTTGTGCTCGGGGCACACTCGCACTGGATCACGGTGGTGGCGCACAAGCGGCACGGTTCCATCGAGTGTCTCTTTCTCGACTCAAACAACGTCGACCTGTTTGGCTACGCTGACCCACAGCTCGCGGCGTTTCTGCAGCAGCCAACGTCGTACATGTTTGCCGAGTCGGGAGCAACGCCGCGCGCGGTCGAGACTGAGGACGAGGAGTACGGGCTGATGCTCCGCGCCGCGCGCGGCACGGCCGAGCTCATGATCGACTGGATCACAGGGCGGACAGCGCTCAAGACGTTTGTGGCTGACACTGTTGTCCGCCTCATGCTCTCCAAGTTTGAACACCGTGTCCTGCGGCGGTCGCCTTACGGCGGCGCGCTCTCGCTCGAGGGTGCGCTCGGGCATGAGCAATTTCTTGCTTGGCTTGTCGAGTGGCTGACTCACTGGGATCCACCCGCCACTCTACGTGCGGGACCGCTGGCCACGCTCCGCCAGCTCGGGGCAGCCTACCTCTCGCCGGAGCTCCGCAACCGGGTTCTGGAGTGGGCGCTGCTTGTCGGCTCATCACCGGTTGTTGCCTCGTCGCCGCATCCCGCTGTCGGCGAGCTGCGACTGGTGCTTCACGAGGTAGTCGCGCTGACGGGGGCGCCGTAGACCTCTACAGCACCCGGCACCCCATCTGATCGGTGCCCTACTCTGCCTCGCGCCCGTCGCCGTTGCCTCCCCCGTTCCGTCTTTATGATGGCAACTCGAGCTCGCTGCAGATGGGCGCGTACGTGGCGTACGTGACGGGCGGCCGCGAGGAGTGAAAAGACTTGTTCATGGACTGTGTTGTTCATTTGGAGGCGCGCGATATCGCGCGCGGGCGACCGCATGGGGCTTAGGGCTACACGAGCTCCAAGAACCTCAGGTGGATATCCTGCCGTTGAAGCAGCGTGGCGTGGGAGGGGATAGCCTGGTACTCGATGTACTTGGCAAGGCCGCGAAGGAAGGCAAGTTGCCAGGAGATGGGGGGGTGCTGGTTGCAATCCCTTTGTTGATATCTCAACAAACTGGCATGCGAATTGACTTTGGTCATCACAGCGTCGGCGTCGTTCTTGGGCAAAACGGCGCGGATGGCGGCGGGGTAGACGACGCCCACGATGCGCTGATACTTTTGGAGCATAAGCTCGCCGGCCGATTGAGGCATTGGCAGCGACGCCGGTTGTGGCTGAATGGACGACGTTGGTTGTTCCGACAGCGCTGGTCTCGGCGGCTCGGCGAGTGGACGCTGGCGTTTGTCAGGTCTTGTTGACACGTCAGCCTCGTCGCGGGTGCGCTTGCGACTCGCAATCGCGGCTTTGGTAAGGACCTGGGGCCGTGATGAGTGACTGAGCGATGCATCCTGCACTTGGGAGGTCACCGTTGGGTGCGCTGCGGGCTGCGATGCTGGTTGCGACACAGGCTGTGCCACGACTGGGAATGGGCGAGAGTGTCGGGGCGGTGGGGCGGGGCGGGGCGGCACGTGCGATGAGTCGACCAGGGCAAACGTGGCAGGGCGAAGCAACTGCGGGCAGCGTGGGCCAAAGACTGCGGCGGTGATGGAGGCGGGCATGGCCGGGTCAGCCACCACCATTTTCTGGCCAAAGGTGCCCGTAACGTAGGCATCAGTGGCAGCGGTTGCGGCAGCACCGCACGAGACGACCCAGGACTGTTGCAGAGACTCAAGAGCGGTGGCGTCGTCATCATCACCAGACAGGATATCCACGTCGTCGTCGTCGTTGTCAGATCCTGTACTGTCGGCGCCGAGCCAACATACTTGCACGGACCGCGCGCGATGCGGACCAGGTCGGACTTTGGCAGGGCACGTGCTGACGGAGGGTAGACGCGGGTGATGTTGAGCGACGAGACAATGACGGCTGGTCGCAGTCGGGACCGGGCCCGCTGGCGCTTGGCGGCGCCGATGGTGGCGATTGTGCCAAGGACATCCGTGCGAAGGGCGTCGATGCTGGGCGCGGCAACGCCGCAGAACTGGCACCCGCCCGATAGACCGAGCCATTGGCATGTCTTGCACAGCAAAGATGGGGGAAGAGCCGGAGCATCGCAAGGCGGAACGTTAACAACGACCTCCTCGTAAAAGTACTCGTAGTCGTACTCGTCGCCTGGCGCAGCGGCCGACACAACGCGCGACGGCTTGGCGAGATCACCCTCAGTGGGCTGCGCTGTTGTTGGTGTCATAGGGGCGGCGGTGGGTGACGAGATCGCCGGCTTGGGAGTGGGAGCAGTCGGGTTGGGACCACTGGCAGGGGTGGCGGCAGGTGTCGACTTGTTCGCGGCCTTGGGTGTTGTCTCCTTGCTCGCAGGCTTGGGTGTTATCTTGGATGTTGCCTTGGTTGTTGTCTTGGACGACGGCTTCGCTGTCCCCTTGCTGGCAGCCTTGGGCGCTGTCTTAGACGCCGCCTTGCTCGCAGGCTTGGGCGTCCCGTTGCTTGCAGATCCAGGCGTTGTCTTGGATGACGCCTTTGCTTTCCCCTTGCTCGCTGGCTTGGATGGCGCCTTGGATGACGCCTTGGTTGTCCCCTTGCTCGCAGATCCGGGCGTCGCTTTGGACGTCGCCTTGCTCGCAGGCTTGGGCGTTGTCTTGGATGTTGCCTTGGTTGTTGTCTTGGACGACGGCTTCGCTGTCCCCTTGCTGGCAGCCTTGGGCGCTGTCTTAGACGCCGCCTTGCTCGCAGGCTTGGGCGTCCCGTTGCTTGCAGATCCAGGCGTCGCTTTGGACGTTGCCTTTGCTTTCCCCTTGCTTGCAGATCCAGGCGTTGTCTTGGACGTCGCCTTTGCTTTCCCCTTGCTCGCAGATCCGGGCGTCGCTTTGGACGTCGCCTTGCTCGCAGGCTTGGGCGTCCCCTTGCTCGCAGATCCGGGCGTCGCTTTGGACGTTGCCTTTGCTTTCCCCTTGCTTGCAGATCCAGGCGTTGTCTTGGACGTCGCCTTTGCTTTCCCCTTGCTCGCAGATCCGGGCGTGGCTTTGGACGTCGCCTTGCTTCCAGCCTTTGTCACAGAACTGCCTCCCAAGACAGAGGATGCAGAGTCTGGGGCCAGTACCAAATCGCCAGTGCTGTGAAACTTGCGCACGCGCTGTAAAATGGTGAGCTCGGAAATCGAGCCGCTCCCGCCTTGCTCTAGATTTGACAGTGTCCGCTGCAGCGGCGACCGGGTCACCGGTGTGCCCAACCTGCTCGCCGCAGCAGTTCCACTTGCGCTCTTCTTTTTGGTCTTCTTGCCGACATCCGCGCCCAATGATTGCTTCTGCTTCTGCTTGCTCGGAGTCCGCATCGGCTCTGTCGACGACGATGATATCGACGGCATCGAGTCCGAGCTTGAGCTCGATACCATTGAGAACAAAACCAAAGAATCACTCCCTTCCAAGCTCCCGCTCGCATCGCTGCCCACGCTGGCACTCTCGCTCGCGCTCACGATCATGCTCGCACTCCCCGACCCCGACCCCGACCCCGACCCCGACCCCGACCCCGACCCCGACCCCGACCCCGACCCCGACCCCGACCCCGACCCCGACCCCGACCCCGACCCCGACCCCGACCCGGACCCTGACCCCGACCCCGCCTCAGAGGACGAGGAAGAGTAAGACGACGTGGATGCAGGAGAAGAAGAGCTCGACGCCGAGTCCTGATCAGAGGTCGAGTCTGATGCTGTCGGGATGCTCGGCGCCAACCGGCTCTCCGCCGTCGACAGCGTGGCCACACCCCGCGCGCTCGAGAGGGCGCGCCCAGCGGCACCATTGCTTGACCGCTTCTGTTTTGCCATGCCCATGCCACTAGACAGACACTAGCGTGAGTCAAGTTTACCTCTACCTCTGGTTACCTCAGTCGTGTCGGGGGTGCAGACACCGGAAGAGCTGGGTGGTACTTTGTGTGCCCTTCCCCCACCGTGAGCCCAACATGTCCAGCCGATCAAGTGCCAAGTCGCACTCGCCGCGCCACTCGACGACCGACTGTCGCGCCCAAAAAAGGTCGTACTTTTGGCACAGACGAAGCGGGTGACGCCAACGGCCGCACCACCACCACCAACACCAGCCACACCACACACCCATACCCACACCTCTACACCGTCCACGCGCACACACGCGCCACCCGCACACAACGCACACAAAACACACACAGAGAACCCGCGCCTCCGGTCCTGTGCCATGTTTATCTACGTGGTGTTTGGCGAGGACGAGGGCCAGCAAGTAATGCTCAACACCCGCTGCCGGTCGGTCATTCTCCTTGATGCGGTGTGTGAGGCTATGGGGCTGGACGCTGGCCAGTTCTCGGATCCATCAGCTACTCTCACGTCGCCTATCATGGGAGATGAGGTCACTTTGCCTCGCATCAAGAACCCGTTTGACCTTCCTGCAGACGCGGCTGCGCCCAACGCTGACGCCCGTGACCCGCCGGCGTCCAACCCGCGTGACCGGTCGGCTTCCCGCCACCCCGCCCTAGTCTTCCTGGACCTCGCCGACGAGGCCGGCAACCTTCGTGGACTCAATCCGTCAAACCCGCTCGAGTATGCCTCGGACGTCCTCAAGCCACGGGCCAAGTATGTGCCGGTCAAGATCGTCGTCGACCAGGCGTCGTCGACCAAGACCTGCATCCCGCTCCGCGCTGGCTTTGAGCTTCGCACGGGCTCGAGCTCAGTGACCAAGGCCGCCAAGCGCCCCAACGCCTCGTCTCTCAACACAGACAACTTTGCCCAGCTCGATCGCCACCTCGAGTCGCCGCGCGTCCGCACCAACCTCGACGCCTCGGCCACGTCGGCCGCAAGCAGCTCGCGCTCGCGCAACCGCTCCAATCGCAGCCAGCGGAACCGCAAGCGCCGCTCGACTACCATCACAAAGTCGTAGGCCCACACCATGTGGTTTCAAGGTGCGTCTGCCCGGACTGGATTGTCCCAGCCCGAGCCGACTGCTCCGAGCCGAGGCCACGATCTGCTCCCTCTGCTCCCGCTAGGCCGAGCCCAACCCAGCGACGCCAGGCACATCCGCTGCTAGCTACGGAAGACTGGCAATTCCATATGAGTCGCCCGCTGCAGTCCCCGGCCGCAGACCTACGACCGCGACCGCTTCCCGATGGACCCCAGGCACAGAGCGCGTCAGCCCACCCAAACTCCACACATACGCAAACCACCCAACTCTATTCCACACTCGAACACACCGGTAGACCATGCTGGGTATTGTGACAGGCGTGCTGCGGACGGGTGCTGCGCGCAAGGCAGGCAGGTGGGCCACTGGCAGCATGCTCGCCCGTGGAGGGCTCCGGGGTGCAGCCGGGGTGAGCGCCACGGGAACGAGTCCGTCCGAAGAGAAGGACGAGACCGGCGAGCCGCTCATTGCGCGGAAACAGATCAAGCACGCCCAGCCGTGGCTGACTCAAGCAGAAGAAGATGCGGTAGCGTCGACGGTGGCATCGGGAAGGCTCACCATGGGCCCGGCTACCAAGGAGTTTGAGGCCTCGGTCGCCGCCTTTGCCGGTAGGACCCATGCCGTGGCGGCCTCGTCCGGAACAGCCGCGCTGCAGCTGGCGCTGGCGGCGAAGGGCGTGGGTCCAGGCTGGACCGTGGTTCTTCCTGCATACACCTGGGTGGCCACCTACAACGCGGTCGTCCTTGCCGGCGCCACGCCCGTCCTCGCCGACGTCGATCCGCTGGCGTACACCATCGATCCGGCAGCCACCGTGGCGGCGCTCGACAGTGCCGTCACCGGCGGCGCCGACCCCGGCAAGATGGCGATCATGCCGGTCCATATGTTTGGCTACCGCGCCGGCGCCGGCTGGCTCCCTGACCTTGCCCGCGAGCGCGATCTGACGGTCATTGGCGACGGGTGCTGCTCGTTTGGCGGCATCGCTGGTGGCGAGCGGTGCGGCGCGTGGAGCCCGCTGGAGGCGTTTTCGTTCCATCCACGCAAGGTAGTGACCGCCGGTGAAGGCGGCATGCTCCTGACCGACGACGATGAGGTGGCGGCCAAGCTGCGCGCGTTGCGCGACCACGGCGCTCACCGGTCGGCCGAGCAGCGCCGCCAAACAGGCGCCGGCGGGCCGATGGTCCCCGAGTTTGAGCTCGGCTACAACTTTCGCATCACCGAGATGCAGGCTGCTCTCGGCGCGGCCCAGATGTTGCGCATCGGCGAGCTCCTCCGCGCCCGCCGCGACGTCGGCCTCCGCTATGACGAGCTGCTTGTCGACGGGCCGGCCTGGCTGCGCCCGCCGCCGCGCCTCGCCGGAGGGCCGGGGGCCGAACCGGATGGCGACGATCGCATCCTCACCTTCTACCCTGTCACCCTCTGGGGCTCGCGCGCCGACGACGCGCCAGCAAAGCTGGCCGCATCGTGGGCGGACGGCGACGCCGCTGCCGTGGCCAAGGCCGACAAGCTCGGCGCCTGGCGCGACCGGCTCATGGGCGACCTCGCCGCCGCTGGCGTCGCCGCCCGCCCGCCGATGCTCTCGCTCCCAGACCTTCCCTACGTCCAGGAGCGGTCGCATCTTGCACCGACCGACTATCCGGTCTCGTCGCTCCTTGCGCGCCTCACCTTTTCGCTCCCTCTCCACCACGAGGTGACTTGGGACGATCAGCGCCAGATTGTCCGCCTTCTCCGCGAAATCCCGTCATCCTGGCACTCTCTCGACGAGCGCATCGCCGCCGTTGATCGTGCACTTGGCAAAGCCCAGAGCTAGGGAGCCGCTTCACTACCAGGGCCGGGAACTAGAGCCGCCACACCCACTGACGCTGATGCTTCTAGTTGAGATGGCCATGCCCTGCTCTTCTGGCCGGACCATTGCCAGATGCTCTGCTGATCAAACTCCCCGCCCACCGCGCACTGATTCCCACGACCAACACCCACTCTCCCTCCACCTCCTCCCCCGACTCCCCACCTCCTCCCCCGACTCCCCACCTCCCCACCTGCCCCAACACTCTACTCTTCCCCCCACACACCAGTCATGACTCAGCCAACCAGCATATACCTTGTCGTGGCCCTTGTGGCCATGACTATGGCTGCCACCCTGACCTGTGCCTCGGCTGCCCCTGGCTCTGACGAGCTCCTCACCGCCATGACCGGTGCCATCCCCAGCGCCATGGATGCTGCCAGCTGTACGTAGAGGAGAAGGCAATGAAAGAAGGGAGGGGGGGAAGGGGGGGGGGAGGGGGGGGGGGGGACTCACGTGGGAGATGGGGGTACAGACAAGGAGCACTTTACCAAGATCCGTGAGATGCAGACCAAGGCGCTGGAGCAGATCGCGGCCATGGGCAAGTGGTCGCTGCAGCGGCAGGTTCTGGGCAAGCCGCTGGAGCACATCAAGGCCAAGTTGACTGAGGGCAAGGAGGCATACATGGCCCTTGTGGCTTCTGTCGATCCGTCGGCGTCGGCAGAGACGCTCGAGCTCGACGACGAGGGCAAGACCAACCAGTTCAAGGCCTTCTCGGCCACCATCGAGAACGTCATCTTCCTCTCTGAGACGCTGCTTCGCTTCCCGGCTTCCCGCCGGCTCATGGACAAGGAGACCGAAGGGCTGTTCTTCTGGGCCTATGCCTATGCCACTCAGGCTGCCATCGGTGACGAGAACCTCGATGTCCTCCTCAACTCGGCCAAGCAGGTCATGGAGCTGGACATTGACGCCATCCCCAACCCCGACGACAACGCCTCGGGCACCAATGTTCCTGCTAGTGACTCGCCTTCGCCTGCCAAAAAGAAGAAGCGGGCCAAGAAGACCAAGGCCGAGAAGGCTGCCGAGATCCGCAAGCGCAAGCTCCGCCGCCGCTCCTAACCCTTAACCCCACAACAGCACCCAACCCAACCCAGCCCAACCCAACCCAACTCGACTCCCCCTCATTTCCCCCCATCTAACATCCATCCCACACCACGTTCACCATCATCGGCCAAGCCATCTCCCATCTGCCCATGCCCTCCCGTCGAATGTCCCAAGACCCGCTCACTCCACTCTCGCACACACACACTCTCTCTCTCTCTGCTCATGCCAGCCATCCGCCTCCAAGTCTTCCTTGCACGAGCGGGACTCTGCTCACGCCGCGGCGGTGAGGCCCTCATTTCCGCCGGGAGGGTGACTCTCAATGGTGTGGTTGCCGCCCTGGGTGACAAGGCCGACCATGCTGGTGGCGACGTGGTGGCGGTCGACGGCCAGCTGGTCGAGACGGACGATGCTGAAGGAGGTGGCGGATCATCGGATCGCCCGATCACTTATCTGTTACACAAGCCTGCAGGAGTGATCTCAACCATGCGCGACACACATGGTCGTCCTACCGTGGCAGACATGCTCCCACCATCGCCACGGGTCTTCCCCATCGGTCGGCTCGATAAGGAGACGACCGGCTTGATCCTCGCCACTGCTGATGGTCCTCTTGCCCACGCTCTCACCCATCCATCGCTGGGCGTGGAAAAAGAGTATGTGCTGCGACTTGCGAATCCACTTCCGCAGGCTGCTCGACGCGCCCTGGCTCGCGGTGTTGCGCTCGGCGACGGACTGACCGCCCCGGCCAAGGTTGCTGACGTCGCCGACGGCATCGATCCTTGTCTTGTCTCGCTCACCATCCACGAGGGTCGTAATCGTCAGATCCGCCGCATGTGCGCCGCTCTTGGCCTTGACCTCTGCTCGCTCGCCCGAGTCCGCATCGGTCCGCTCTCCGACCCCTTCCTCCGCCCCGGCTCTTTCCGCACGCTCACTGACAACGAGTACGACGCGCTGCGGCAGGTGGCCGGCTTGTCGAGCCCGAGAAGGGGTTTACAGCGTGAAAGAAATGTGATAAAGTGTTGCAGAGTTGCAGTGAAAAATGAGTGTGGTATCCAAAGGAAGGTTTGTCCTCCGCATCCTTGTCCCCCTCTACTTCTTGCGGGACTTGGTCGGGAACAGCTGCGACTTGGTGAGCGGATTGCCGAGCTGCTGGACGACAAGCTTGAACTGGCGGAAGAGCATCGAGCCGTGGTTGACCGGCGCCGAGTCGTTGGTGTCGTCGCCGCCGATGGACGAGACCATCGACATCTCCTCAAAGCCCGAGCCGCGGCGCGATGCAAGCGCCGCCGCCACCCTGCCCGAGCCGCCGGCCTCGCCGCCGGGCATGTCGAGAACGACCGCGCTGGGTGAGAGGGCAGCCAGCTCGACACCGGCGCCGGTGGGAGGCGGCGCGGCGCCAGGGCCGGACGCGAGGAGCGGCGGCGGCGGCGGGAGGAGGCCGGTCGTGCCGGTCGACGGAGCCGGCGGCGGGAGCAAAGACGCAGCCGTCTTGTTCTCGTCGCCCGACGAGTTTGATGACGAATAAGACGACGATGATGAAGACGAAGACGATTCGATGTCCGGCAGGACCTCGTAGCCGGCCATTGGCGTTGCGCCCTTGAGCACAGCCTTGAACTTGGGCTTGGTGAGGAATCGGGCGAGGTAGCCGTGGAGGACGGCGAGCGAGAGTGGAAGCACCGACGCCGGCATCTCCTCGGCGGCCGGGAACGGGTCGAACGACGGCACATTGATGTTGAGCACATCACGCACGTAGTCGTTGAGTCGCGGCATGTTGGTGTTGAGGAACGGGTTGAGCTGCACCATGAATCGCTCCTTGGTGCCAAACAGCACGCCATTCGCGAGGTTCTGTAGGACCTTGGTGACCAAAATGAGTTGCCGCCGCTCCTCGCGGCTAGGTGGGTTGGGAAGGACGCCAAATGCTTCCGGCGCGGAAATAGCAGGGTTGAGGAACCGGAGGAAGAGATACGAGTTCGTAGGCGTTGTGCCGACCGTCGGGAACTTGGCCGACACTGCATTTTGCAGGTACAGGCAGATCCGCCGCATGCCGACCGGCACAAACTTGCCCGTAGACACAATCGACTCAAAGAACTGCTGGCACATCGCCATCAGCAGGTACTTGTTGGTCTCGGCCTGGCCGGCACCGACCTTGGACGTGTCGATTTCCATGTTGCGCGTCGAAAGACCCTGCGGCGCAGCAGCCTCGCCGGCCTCCTCGTCATCGCCGGCATGGTTCTCGTGGTACCACACCGCCACGTGCCGACCCACAGCCTCCCACATGTACGGGAGGCCTACGGCCTTTGAGTACGCCTGCATCAGCTTGGTCGCCACAGAGTTGACCCGGAAAAGGGTACCCAGCGAGTCCGCCCTCTCCACCTCGAGCGCGCACGCCGCCAAAATCACTTCCTTCTCCTTCCCCTTGGCCAGCGCCACAGCCAGGAGCGACTTTGCAAAGTCGTCGGCGTCGGCCGGATCCACGCACATAAGCATAGCCTTGAGCACCGCGTTCGTCGGATGGTCAAACAGAAACGGGAGTACAGACTCGACAAGTCCTGCGCGCTGGCTCACCGCAGGCTTCACAGCCGTCGTCCCGTACTTGCCAAACCGGAACGGCGTAAAGTCCGGCATCGGCGGCCCAGCCCGCGCGCGCTTCCTCTGCCGCCGCACAATGAGGATCACAAGAAGAATGGCCACCAAGAGAAGGATGGCACCGAGCCCAGCGGCCGACGCTACAAGCAGCGTGTTCGACGGCGGTGGCGGTGGTGGTGTCACTGCCGCAATCGTCGGCTCCGCGCCTGTCTGCACAGACAGCGCCGCCGAGACCGGTGACTCACCCACCGCATTCGACGCCGACACTGTGTACACGTACAGCGAGAGCGGCATAAGCCTAGAGTCGACAAACAAGTACGGCTGCGGCGCAGCGAGCTCGGCGCCCTCGAGCGCACGCACAAACTCCCCATTGCGGTAGACTGTAATCCGCGAAATGGGCGAGCCGTTGTCTGCCGGCGCGGTAATGGTAAAGTTGACCGAGTTCCACGCAATGCCCGCCACGAGCGGTGGCAGCGGCGCCTCTGGCACGTCCGCAAGCGTCGTCTCCGTCACCATCGTCGCTGCGTAGTCCGACGTCCCGTTCGTGTTGCGCGATCGAACCGAGAACCGGTACGTCGTCGCAGGGAGCAAGCCCGTGACCACCGCCGTCAGCTGCGCCGCGTCGTTCGGATTCTGTGGGAAAACCTCTACAATGGTACTCGCGGCCTCGCCCGAAGTATCCACAAGTGACGCCAGTCGCTCGACAAGAATCTGAAATGCAAACGGCGGGTCGGCTGCGTTCGGTGGCGATACGTCCCAGCGCAGCGAGACCAGCGACGACGACGTTGCAACGCTCCCGAGGTACAACCCGCCCGGCGCCTCGGGCGGCGCGTTAATCGTCGCCGTCTTGACATCCAGCAGCGGCGAGAACGGCGACGTTCCGTTTCCATTCACAGCCTGAATCCGGAACTGGTAAAACTGGTTCGGCAGGAGCTCGTCGATAAACGCAAAGGTGGTCGTCGTGTTGAGCACCCGCGCCGGCGAGATCTGGTGGACGATGTACATAGTGATCGGCAGGTTGTTGTCAGCAGGCGCAATCCACGCCAGCCGCAGCGTCGACGACGTCACATCGCTCGCCGAAGGCCGCGGCGGTGCATCCGGCGGTGAGATGTTGATTGTGTCTGTCGAGACCACAAGCGGCTCCGACCAGGGCGCCGTCCCGTTCGAGTTGACTGCACGGATCGAGATCGAGAACTCGGTGTCGGCAGAGAGCACGAGTGTGCTCCGGAAGTCATTTGGCGTACCGATCGAGAGCACCGAGCTCGGCGGATCCACAAGAACCTGATACAGCGTCACGGGGTCACCCCGTCAAAGGCGGGCGAGAAACCAAACTCGATTGAGCTCGACGTCGCCTCGATCAGTGTCGGCGCAGAAATGACGTGCGGCGGGCCCCGCCCGGTTCTCGCCTGCAGCTGCTGCGACCACTCGGAGATCCCGCGGCTCGTCACAGTCCGCACCCTGAACGAGTACTCGGTAAACGACGTCCGATTGGAGGCCAAGTACGAGCCCGACTCGCCTGCGCCCGGTAGCACAACGTACATCGGTGACGTGTCCGACATCGTGCCACCATGATCCGGAATCTGCACCTCGTACCGCACAACTGGCACGTTGTACCGCGTTGGCGGCGCCCAGCCCACCGTCACCGACGTAGCGTCGGCCGCCAGCACAGACGCGGCATCGATCGGCTCTGGTGTATCCTCCATTGGCTGCACAAAGAGACCCAACGACGAGCCGAGCACATCTGTCGCGGCCGAGAGCAAATTGTAGCTCACAGGGTCGAACACAACCGACCTCGAGTGCGGGTCGTGCTCAACCGAGTTGCCAAGCCCGGCATTGATAGCCAGCTCGGCCATATCGCTCCCGTCATACCGAAACCGCCACGCATGGAGGGAGAACCGCCCGCCCGAGCTCACAGACGCCACCGCCACCAGTCGCTGATCGACTTGAGGCAGCGCCACAAGTGATGGTGGCGCCACGTTGGTTGACGACGGGTTGGTAAAGAACACCGGCGCACCAGCAGGGTACCCGAGCTCGCCGCTGCTCAGCTCCTCAAACACATGGTAGACCAGCACGTGCTCGGCCGACGACGGCACACGAGCCCGCGACCGTACAAGCCCACCAGCTGCCACCCCACGTGCCTGTGTCATCACACCATATCTGACCGGCGAGGAGCCTGGAATGACAATAGCAGACGGCAGAAAGCCCGAGTAGAACGCGCCGCACCCGTCCACGCAGGACAAGTCAGCCGCCAGCCCGGTGCCTCCATCCTCGGCCATCGGCAACGAGTCGCATCCGCATGGCACGTTGAGGCTCGAAATCGAGCCCGCGACTGCCAGCGAGTCGCTCACATTAAACGTCCAAACCCGCAACGTGTTGTTGACAACAGCATCACGGGTGAACGCGAGTCCGCGGCTCCCGCTCGGGTCCAGCACAAGCGAGGGCGTCAAGCCAGAGTCGGGTGGCGCGCCCGCGTCCACAATGGCAGAGCTGCACGCCGTCGTTCCCAGCGCCGGGCACCGGAACGCCCGCAGCCGTGAGCCGCTCGCACTATCGCGCGTCACAATAACCACAAGGCCACTAGCAGCATCCAGTGCAATCGACGGCTCCAACCCCGAGTCGCCCGCCAGCGAAGGTAGGTTGCTGGTCCGATCCACGCACGTAGCGAGTCCATGCTCGCAGAACACGAGGGCAAGCGTCCCGTCCGCAGCCGTGTACGCCACCAGCGTGCCCGAGTTGGCGCCAGCAGCGTGGAACACCGCCGCAGGATTGCGGCCGCACCCCGCTCCGGTGCACACCGAGAATGCCATCGACGGAGATCCGTCGGCTGCAGAACGGCCCTCCAGCCACAACTGATTGTCGCCCGAGGCCGAGACCGTCACCACTCGCCCGCCAACCGTGTCCAGTACAGACGCCGGCGTCAGTCCGTACGAATTGACCGCCACATACGTGCCTTGGTCCGGAGCTCCGCACACCACCTGTCCCATTCAACCCCGCCCCGCACTCTTCCCGTGAGCCTCACACTCATAGGCTGCACGCCCACCGACGAAGGCTGCAAAAACGACAAGCCACGACGCCACCACCCGCAACCAACCTCTCCTGCGTCCACCACCGACACCCCCACTCCCTCTCCCACTCGTACACTCCGCTCCCCCTTCCCCCCCCCCCCCCTCGCCTTCTCTACACCCCACCCACCACCCCACGGAAGGTGGCCACATGCCACCACGTACTGTTGCCAATAGAAGGGCGACAACAACGATGCGCATTTTTTTGTGTCTCCCAGAGAGTCAAATGATTTGCTAACTGGTTGTTGATCACTCTTTGTCCTTCTCTTGCTTCCCACAACAAAAAAGACCTCCGAATAGCGTGGACTTTGCGCCGCCCCCTTCAAAAAAAGGGTGTGGTAGGCAAAAAAAGGGATGGCGTGCGCGCGAGAATGTCGTTGATGTCGTGCATCAACTTTTCGGCCCCCACGTGCTCCGACTCCCACACACCTCTCCCTCCCCCACCCTCCTCCCCTCTTCCCCCGTCCCCTTCTTCCCACACCTCACACCCCCACGCCCACGCACAAACACAAACACTCCACCTCACACACACCCTCAACCCCTCACACACACATACACACCACGCTCCACACACACTCGTCACACACACCTCGACTTTCTCTCCTCCCTTCCCTCTCTCCCTCCCCTTCTGTCAGATGTCGTGCTGGTGGTGGCTGTCAGCTCTGGTGCTACTTGCCTTGGCGGCAACAGGCATGGGACAGCAACAGCACACCATCCGCGTTCTCCACATCTCGTCATCGGGCTCGTCGTTTTCGTTCTGTCAGCCAGACACGCCGTGCAGCCTCGCGAGGGCCGGTGTGCTGCGAAGCTCCAACGCCTTTGGTCTGGCAAGCACGACGAGGCGCTACATCTTCCGGCTCGAGCAAGGCTTGTACAACACTCACAACTATGCTCTGCAGTCGTACACGATCTACCAAGGATCATGGCTACGCGGGAGTGGCTCTTGGGTCCGCTCTACTATCAACGCGTACAACACGATCCTGTTCTCTGATCAAGGCGGGCCGGTGGCAAAGGCTGAGGGCACCATTTCGACGTCTGTCTCTGAAATCATCTTCTATGCTGTGTCGCCAGGTGGCTCGTCCCAGTCGGTCTACGGCTTGCTGGTTGCCGCTTGCGTCGACTTTTCAGCCTCGCGCATCTATGTCATCTCGGGGGATGCATCCGATGGTGGTGCCGGGGCCAAGGGTGCAAACGGCAAGATCGTGGCCAAGTCCGGGCGCAACGGTATTGTTGGCTACTGTAACAAAGCAGCCTGTAACTCTGATACGCCCGCCTACGGTGGCTCTGGGGGCAACCCTGGTGGGACAGGTGGCCGCGGATGCTGCAAGGGCAACTGTGGTGTCGGTGGCAAAGGCGGTGGTGGCTCGCTTGGTGGCGCCTCGGGTGGGCCCGGCTCGAGCGGCGAGAGTGTTTTCGGCATCATCTCAGACGGCAAGAACGGAGGCAACGGTGGAAACGGCTTACAGCCGTCCAATGGTGGGAACGGCGTGTCTGGTTCCGGGTACTTTGATGCCAATAACTACCGATGGGTGGCGAACCCGGGCAAGGCCGGTGCCAACGGCAGGAATGGTGGTGGCGGTGGCGGCGGTGGTGGTGGTGGCGCTTTCCGTGTCTATGAGTTTCCGTCCAAGACAAAGTACAAGCAGACCGGCGGTGGTGGCGGTGGTGGTGGTGGTGGTGGCGGCGGCGGCTTTGGCGGTGCAGGTGGTGGCTCTGGCGGATCTTCGATCGCCATCATTGCCTACCGCAAGTCAACGGCCCACTCAATTTCCATCCGCTACTCGCTGGCCCAAGCAGGCTCGGCAGGCCAAGGCGGCAGCGGCGGTGCTGGAGGCCTAGGCTCCCCTGGTGGGCTCGGAGGCATCCCCCATGATCCAGATTGCAGAGCTCGCCGTGGTGGGCTCGGGGGAAAAGGTGGAAGCGGGAGCCGTGGTGGCACAGGTGGAAAAGGCGTCAGCGGCATCAGTCGCATTATCCAGCAGTCTGGAACCTACCCGGTCTCGGCTGCCATTTCCGATACCTCGCTGATGAACCACCAGAAAATCCAAGTCGCTGCACCGCACACCTGTGTTGGTTCCGTTATTTCCATCACTCTCACTCCGGGCGGAACGCTCACCTCGTCAGGGAGTGGCTGGCTCGGCCAAAGCTCGTCGACGTCGGCGACCGCTATCTACAGCGCGCCCGGCTTTGTCGACCTCACAGTCAACTCGCAGGTCTTTGACGACATTCTCTACATCCAGCCCGAAACCATTTCTGCGGACATTGTGGTGACACCAGCATCTGCCACTTCTACCTGCCTCACCTCATACTTTTCCCTCAACGTTGAGTCGACGCCGACATGGGACTCGGACCGGACGGTGGCGTGGACATTTGACGCAGGCCTCAGCCCAGTGTCGGCGATCAACGACGAGTTAGTGACCGTTCGAGCCGACGGGATCTCGGCCGCGCTCACCGCCTCGGTCACACTCGCCTCGCCGCGGTGTGGGCCTGTCACGTCGTCGGTCTCTATTGCTGTCGCCGACAACTCGGCCGGATGCACGCCGCGATGCGGCTCGCAGCCGTGCCGCGCCGGGCGCGGCACTTGCACCGACGCCTCGACCTGCACCTGCTACTATGGCTTTACCGGGCCCGACTGCGCCTCCCTTGTCGAGCCGTACTGCGAGCCGTTTGAGTACCTTGTTCCGCATGCCACCTTTGGTGTGGCGGGGGCGTACCGACTTGGCGATACGGTGACGACCACATGCAACCTCGGGTACCACCTTGTGGCTGGTTCGACCGTCCGGCGATGCACTAACACGACCGGCGCCGACGCGTCAGTCGGCGTGTGGGACGGTGACCTCCCGACTTGTGACCGCATCGCCGACTACTGCGAGCCACCGGTGGCGCCGGACCATGGCGACATTGCGCCCGAAGACTGCCCGCGCTACGTGTGGGAGACCAACGGCGACGAGTGCGGGCCGTACCGGTGCAAGGTCGGGTACGCAGTCTCCAACCCACCCTTCCGCCGCTGCCTTCCGCTCAACACCACACACGGCGTATGGGACGTGGCCTCGCCGAACTGCACCGTCATCGACTGTGGGCCCAACACGCCGCCGGTCAACGGCTACGAAGTCGCCCGCCTCCCTCCGGCGCCGCAACCGGGTGACACCTGGCCGGCATGGGTCTACACCGTCAACACCACGTACTCGGCCGTCTCGGTTCACGATTGCAACGAGGGCTACCTCAAGAACGGCGACATCACCCACACATGCACTGTCCTCAAGACCTACACCGGTATTCCCACCACGTGCGCCCTCGACCCGCTCTACTGTCCGACCCTTTTCCCGCCGCCCAACTCGGTAACCACTCCGCCGGTATGCGGGCAGACGCTCGGAGATACCTGCGCCTTTTCCTGCAACGGCGGCTACTCGCTCGTCGGCTCGACCTCGCGCACGTGCCTCGTCGGGTTGAATCGCGTTGGCAACTGGTCAGGCCCGGCCGCCTCGTGTGCTCTCATCTTGTCGTACTGTCCGGACCTCTCGCCGCCGGCCTTTGGCTCGCGAGCCGGCGACTGCGTGCGCTCGGTCGGTGGTACGTGCGAGACCTTCTCGTGTGATACGGGCTATTATCTGGCCAACGCCACAACCATGGCGGCGCGGACATGCCTTCCCGACGCGTCGTGGAGCGGTGACAACGCCGTATGCCTCCTGCACGACTGTGGGCCGCTGCTGCCGCCAACGAACGGAAACATCGGATCGTGCGCCACCACTTACCCGTCGAGCTGCAGCTACGCCTGCAATGCGCCGTACTCTTTGGTTGGCGTCTCGTCTCGGAGCTGTCAGGCCAACGGCCAGTGGTCGTCGAGTGCGCCGCTCTGCATCGACGTTGTGGCGCCGGTCTACCGCAACTCGTTCACGCCGCGCGCCCTAGAGCCCTCAGTCCCTGTCGCTACCACCATCAACGTCACCTTTTCCGAGCACATGAACCAGACGTCGCTCGACGCCGGTGGCGCGTTCTCGCTCCGCACCCTCGACAACGAGCCGGTGAGCGGGACCTTTGCCTACTTTGCCCTCGCGAACAACGAGCAGCTGATGGTGTTTACGCCAGCAATGCCGCTTGCGCAGCGGACCACCCACTTTATCTCAGTCACCACTGCCGCCACCGATCTCGCGGGAAACAAGCTCGGCTTTGAGCTCTCGGCCTCGTTTGTCACCGAGGACTCGACGCCGCCGCGAGTGACGTCGACCTCGCCCGGCCGCGACGAGGCCGGGCTCGATCCCGACATTGTTGTCCGAGTTCTCTTTGACGAGACCATGGACGTGCCGGCCACTACCGCGGCCTTTTCGCTGCTTGCCGAAGACGGCTCGTCCGTCACCGGCAACATTAGCTGGTCGAACGAGAACACGGCACTTCAGTTTGTGCCGCTCGCTGACCTCGCGTCGTTCACCGAGTACACCATCACTCTCGCGCCCGCTGCCGCCGATCCGTCCGGCAACAACCTTGCTGGCGCGCCCTTTGGCTCGGCCTTTTTCACGCGCGACTTTTCCGCCCCGCGCGTCGTCGCCACCGCTCCATACAACACTCAGACCGAGGTCGGGCTCAACTCGACCATTGTCACCACCTTTTCCGAGGCCATGATTCCGGCGCCGGTCCAGTCGGCGTTCTCGTTAGTCTCGGTGGCCGGCTCGCCAGTGGCTGGCGCCTTTGCGTGGAACACGCCCAAGACCGTCCTCACCTTTACTCCCTTTGCAGACCTGCCAGACGACACCGACTACATATTGAGCTACGGAGCCGGTGCACTCGATGCAAGCTCCAACGCCATGGAGCCGGTCGTGTTCTGGTTTCGGGCTCAGGACCACACCCGCCCGCAGCTCGTCACGGCTGCCTCGGTCCCGCCCGACGGCGACAACTCGGTCGTCCTTGGCTCCAACATCACTCTTGTCTTTGACGAGGGAATGGACACGGCTTCGGTCGAGGCTGCCTTTGCGCTGACGAAGCAAGGTTCGGCGGCCCGCGTGGCTGGCACTTTTGTTTGGAGCCTCCCAACCAACGTCTCGCACATCGTCACCTTTGTTCCGGCTGCCCCGCTCGAAGAGACCGTCTTTTACCAGGTCGCCTTGAGCGTCGCCGCCCTCGATGACTCGATCTCACACCCCAACGCGCTAGCAGCCTCGTACTCGACTACTTGGTTTACCGAAGACGTCACACGGCCAGCTGTGGTTATGGTGAGCCCGGGCAATGGCTCGATCGAGGCGAGCCTCGGCTCGACTGTTGTCGTCCAGTTCTCGGAGCGAATGGCAGTCGGCTCGCTCTCGCCCGGAGCCTCGTTTACTCTGACGCCCGTCGACGACGCCGGCTCCCGCGGAGTCCATGTCGCCGGCTCCGGCGTGTGGAACGCCATTTTCACTGTCTACACCTTCACGCCTGCTGCTCCGCTCGTCAATTCGACGCGATACGAGGTGATGCTGCTGGCGTCGGTGGTTGATGCTTCGCCCAACGCCAACGCGCTCGCTCAGGCTGTCGCCACCTCGTTTGTCACCGTCGACCTTATTGCGCCGACCGTGTTGTCAGTTGAGCCTCCCTTGGCGGCATGGAACGTCTCGCTTGACACCAGCGTCACCATCACCTTTTCCGAGACGATGGACCGAGCGTCGGCCGAGGCTGCTGCCAGCCTCGCCTGCAACGGAGTGCCTGTTGCTGTGACCACAGTTTGGTCGGCTCTGGACTCGGTACTCACGCTCGCGCCCACATCTACTCTCGACGACGACGTGGTGTGCCAAGTGGCCGTGGCCGGCACCGCAACCGATGTGGCCAATGCCGCGAACACCCTCGGCACCCGCTTTGTCTCGTCTTTCCGCTCTGCCGACTTTACGCCTCCGATCTTGGTGAGCTCGTCGCCGGCCGCGACTGCCGTTGGCGTCTCGTTTGCCACGGTTGTTCGGCTTGTTTTCGACGAGCCGATGGACCGAAGCGCAGTCGAGGGCGGGTTCGAGGTCGCGGCTGTGCCTGGCGGTCCGATTTCGGGCGAGTTCGCGTGGTCAGCCAGCGACACAATCCTTGTCTTTACGCCGCATGCCTTCCTTGCCAACTTTACGGTCCACACGGTCAATCTGACAGTGGCAGGCGGGCGAGACATTTCCGGCAACAGTCTGATGGCGCCACTCTCGACCATTTTTACGACGCTCGATCTTTCCGCGCCTCGGATTGAGGCGACAGTCCCGAGCATGGGCGCAGTCTCGGTAGCCGTTCACCTCCCGATTACCGTCTCGTTCTCGCGCGAGATGGCGGTGGCGGCAACTGAGGCCGCAATCTCGCTCCGCAATGTCGACGATGGTGTCGACGCTTCTGGTGGCTCGTTTGTGTGGGACGCACCTGCCAACGAGACGGTCACATTCTACCCGCCTGGCAATCTTACCCACCTCACCCGGTACGAGCTAACGATCAGCACGAATGCGGCAGCCAAGGCTGGTTTCCTGCTCGAGTCGCCGTTGGTTGTCCCGTTCACAACCGTCCGGTCGGTCCCAGTGGTGGCGGCAGTAAGCCCTAGCGCGGCGCCGATCGGGGCGGCGGTGACCGTGACTGGAACAGGGTTTGAGCTCGCGCAGTGCAGTGACATCAAGCTTGATGGCGCACCACTTACTGGTACCGCGAACGTCGCGGCACCGTTTACCGCGGTGACCGGCTGTCTGGTCCCCGACGCTCATCCTGGTGGAACGGTTGGGGCAGTAGTTGTTGAACTCGACGGCCTAGTCTCGAGTACCTCGGGAAGCCTCACGGTTGTTCCACGAGTCTCGGCACTCTCGGTCTTGCGCGGCCCGCCTGGCGCCAACTTTACCCTCACCGGGACCGGGCTCGGCACGTTGAGCTGCAGCCAGATCCGTGTCGGAGGCACGGTTGCCACCGGGTTGGCAAGCGTCTCGGGCGGTGGCCGCCTTGTGGACGGATGCTACATGCCGATGGGTTTGACCGTCGGCGCGACGCCAAGTGTTGACGTGGAAATGGGGGGAGTAGTGTCTGTAGGCGCGGTTGTGTTTACGGTCATTCCCGAGGTGGCTCTCCTGAGTCCGGCGTCTGGCCCGCAGAACACGGCGTTTGTGCTCCGCGGGCGCGGGCTAGCTGGCATCGCGTGCTCGGACATCCTGTTTGGCGCGAGCCAGCGGCTGCCTGCTCGTGGGACAGCGAGCTCGGGCTCGGGCACTAAGGTCAGCGGATGCACAGCACCGCCCGGGTACCTCGGCTCGCTGCGAGCTGTTGTTGCTGTGGCGTTTAACGGCGAGGAGTCGGACGTTGACGGGCTCTTTACTTATCGGCCGGCGGTCACCGAGGTTCGCGAGCGGGCCGGCGTCGCCGGTCAGCCGTTTGTGCTTGTGGGCTCCAACTTTGGCTCTGCGACGTGCGGCGACATTGCGTTTGGTGTGACGCCGGTGGCGAGCGCGACCGGTGCCATCGTAGTGTCGGCAAGCGATCCGTCATTGGTGGAGCTCTCTGGCTGCGTCATTCCGCCCGGAGCGCTGGGCGCCTCTGTCGGAGTCCAGCTCTTTGGCCTCGAGCTGAGCTCCAACACGGTGCCGTTCCGGTACGCGACGACGGTGGTCTCGATCTCGCCGTCGTCTGGCCCGCCAGGGACGGTGGTCACGCTCAGCGGATGGTTCGACTTTGGGCTCTCACTCGACGCCATCTCGCTCGGCGGAGTGGTGTGCTCGGCTACGCTCTCGCCAGCAGGTCTCCCGCTGACGCTTGCATCGTGCGTGGCGCCGCCGTTCCCTACCAACACCAACGCGTCTGTTGGTGCTGTGGTGGGTGGCGTGGTGTCGACGGTCCTCACGCCGGGCCTTGCCTTCCAGTACGCGCCCAGTCTGAGCGCCATCGAGCCTGCAGCCGGTCCTGTCGGCGGAGTAGTGACAATCCGCGGCGCCGGCTTTGTCAACGCGACTGACGGCGAGACGGTGGTGTACTTTGACGGCGTTCGGTGTGGTGGTAGTCCAAGCGTCGTGGCCTCGGACACGATTGTCGGGTGCGTGGTGCCGGGCAATGTGCCGAGCGCTGGTCAAGTGGCGACGGTGACAGTCGAAGTTGTGGCGCTCGGCGATACGGTGCCGTCGGTCAACTCGCTGCCCTTTACCTATGAGGCTGGGGTGCTGGGCGTGACACCGAGCGTGATAGAGGCGTATGAGTTTGTGACCATCCGCGGCGTCTCGCTCAACGGGACAGGCGTCGAGGTGCTGGTGGGCGAGCTCCCGTGCGACGCAGGACGGTCGCGCCTCGAGGTGAGCTACTCGGAGATCCGCGGGTGCGCGGTGCCGTTTGGACACGCGCTTGGAACAGCGCAGGACATCACGGTGAGAGTTAACTCTGTGCTCTCTGTGGCGACGGCGGGCCTGGTGACGGTGACCTACACCGGCGAGCCTGCGGTGCTTGCAGCGCTGCCGGCCAACTCGCTTACAGTTGGCGGGCAGAACGTGTACCTGTTTGCCAAGTATCCGGAGGTCTTTCTGGACTTGCCCACGCTGGCGGTGCGATTTGTTTCTGAGACAGACAACAGCACAGTGGTCGACGTGCCGCGGTCGGCACTGACGCTCATTGGCAACGCGGTCATCAACTTTGACGCGCCGGCGTTCCCGGTCTCGGGCGGAACGCGGCTGTCTGTGACGAACCGCGGCGGCAACTACTCTGCAGCAATCAGCTTTACGTACTTTTCGACGCCGTCGGGCCTCGCGCTGGTCTCGGCACCCGGAGGAGTGTGGCGCAACTCGGGCACGATGGAGCCTACTCCTGTCCTGGAGATTGTCGACGCGTTTGGCGTGCGGGTGGAGAATGCGTTGGGAACAGGCGTGGTGGTGCGGGCAGTCATCACCGAAGTCGCAAGTCCTGCGCGGGCGCTGGGCGACCCACCGGTGTCGGTGGTGGGTGTGGAGGCGACGTCTGCGCGCGGGCTGGTCTCGTTTGACAACCTTGCATTTTCGGGCGTGCGCGGAGCGAGCTACGCCATCTCGTTTGAAGCGCCAGGCGTCAGCGGGGTGACGCCGCTGGCTCTGCCTGGCGCGATTGTTGTGGAGGAGTGTGGGACGAGCGACCAGTTTGCGGTGGCGACGGCGTCAGGCGTCGAGTGCGAGTGTCTGCCTGGCTACACGCCATCGCCGACGTCGGGCTCGTGTGTGGCGTGCGAAGTCAACGAGTACAAGGCCGAACCGAGCAATGCTGCGTGCCTGCCATGTGGGCCGAACTTTGCGACCAACACAACAGGCTCGGTGACTCGGGAGGCTTGCTTTTGCAAGGATGGATGGTACATGCCCAACTACAACTCGACAGAGTGCCCCGGTTGCTGCCTCCCGTGCGTGGCCGGCGGCGTGTGCCGCGACGGCAACATCGAGCCGGCGGCCGGATTCTGGAGGGCGAGCGCATCGGCCAACGACCTGCTGTACGAGTGCTCGGTGCCGTCTGCGTGCGCCGGCGGCGGAACGACCGCATGCGCACCCGAGTACACCGGCCCGATTTGCGACGTGTGTCGAGACGGGTACGCCAAGTTTGGAGAAATCTGCACGCTCTGTCCGCCGCGGGGCGAGTCTGTGGCCGTGCTTGTCTTTATCGCGCTTGCAGCGGTCACGGTGGTGCTAGTCCTCATCCGGTCGGCGCTCCATGCGCACGAGAAGGAGAAGCACTCGGCGGCGTCTGCGGTGCTCAAGATCCTGATCAACTTCCTGCAATCGATCGCGTTTTTGGGCGACTTCAAGACCCGCTGGCCGTCGACGCTCAAAATGCTGTTTGGCATTTCCAACTCGTCGAACGGGGTCTCGACGCGGTTCTTTTCGATCCAGTGCCTGTTCTCGCTCTCGTTCTACGACACGCTGCTGGCTGCGATGCTCATGCCCGTCTTTGTGGCCGGCATTCCGCTTGTTGTTGTGGCGCTCGAGTACGGCCTTCGACGGGCGATCGACGCGGCGCGGTTCAAGGCCAAGGCACTCCACCACTTTGTGCTGCGATACCGGATGGCAGTCCTCGTTCTCGCCTTCTTTTCGCACGCCTCGATCACGTCGACTGTGCTCGAGGCCTTCCCGTGTGTCGCGTTTAACGGCAAGCGGTACCTGGTGGCGGACATGACAGTCGAGTGTGGGCAGGCGCGGCAGGTGGCGTGGGCGACGGCGGCCGGTGTATTTCTGGTGGGCTATTGCGTGGGCCTTCCGCTTGCCGGCTTTGTGCTCCTCTATCGCAACCGTGGTGCGCTGCACACCGCCAGCGTCAAGGAGAAGTACGCGTTCCTCATCCTTGGCTTTACCTCGCGGCGGTACTACTGGGAAATGGTCATTCTTGTGCGCAAGACGGCGATCATCTGCATCAAGGTCCTGCTGCAGACAAATCCTGTGGCGCAGGTCTACGCTGGCATCTGGGTCATTGCTGTCTCCGTCTTTGTGCACATCCGGTCGAACCCATTTGTATTCGCCATCCTCACCCGGCTGGAACTACTCTCGCTGGCGACGACCTTTGTGGTCCTCATGGCCTCACAGTTTTACTACGTCGACAAGCTCGGCGGTTCGTCTGCCGAGGCCGTCTCGTCACCGTGGACAACCGCGCTGACCGTCTTTCTCGTAGTCCTCCTCATCGGTGTGGTGAGCATCATGATTGTGGTGGCGGTCCGCGAAGTGCTCAAGTCGCTCCGCAAGAAGCTCCCCATGTGGCTGCGCAAGATCCTGCAGCTTGACTCGAGACTCGAGCTCGACGCCAACTTTGTGCCGGACCTCGACTGGTCCGACTCGTCGGCGTACGAGACGGCCCTCGCCGGGCTCGACGCCACCGCGTTCCGGCACGCTGTCGACGATGCGTTCCTCGAGGCTGCGACAAAGGAGTCGCGAGCAAACCACCAGGTGTACAAGGACGCGCGGACGTATGAGAACATGCGCGATACCGCGCTCGTTGAGCTCTACAAGCGGGCAGCTACGACCGAGATGCCACAGGCTGAGGTCGAGGCTTTCGAGGCCAAGATCGTGCGCTCGCTCGGCAAGCCACCGCCGGCAGATTATGTCGACGGGCCCGAGATGTCGGGCTCTGGCTCGGCGTCGGCCGACGCACGACGACTCGCGAGGCCTGCCGAGCTTGTTGTCGACCGCAAGGGTCTGCTCAAGGTCATACGCTATCTCGACGCTCAGCCCAACCTCAAATTCCCGGACTGGGTGGCCGTCAACCAGAAAGCGCTCTTCCGCTTTGTCGACAGGCACGGTGTCGTGCCCAAGTCGCTCTTCTTTGCGCGCTACCTCGCGCCGCCCGGGACGACAAAGGCTACCCGTCGCGAACTGGATGCCTCAAGCCTGGGATCGTCAAGCTTGAGTCTGAGCTCGAGCAAAAGCGTGCGCTCTGGGTCGAGCTCCGACGCCAAGGCCAGCAGTGGTGCAGGCACGGATGGCGGCTCGGACTCTGGCTCGGGATCGAGCTCGGGATCGTCGTCCGCGGTGGCAATGCGTAATGATGCGTATTTGGGGCTGTCAGATGTGGCCACCGAGAGTGAAAGCATGTAACCCTTAGCGGTACGGTCGTTCGGACGCGCCGTCGCGCGTCTCAAAGTGAACAACTCGATGGTGCTTGACTTCCAGCGTCGGCGCCGCGCACATGAGCGTACCGTCGGCGAGCGCGGCTTGGAGGTCTGCGAGCTCGACGGCCGACGCGTAGTCCAAGAACGTCAGTGACGACTCGGCGTCGAACATGAGCGAGCACGGCTCGCCGAAGAGGCGCGCCGCCGTGAACTCGCCCCGCCGCGCAGCACGCGCGCCGCCGAACACGCCCGCGAGAGCGTGCTCATGGACGAGTGCGTGGACGGCCCCGGCCTGCACCATGTTGCGGCGCCGGGTGCGGCGGTGATCGGAACGCAACGCGAGCGACTTCTTGACCAAGATGGAGCCGTCCGGCTTCTTGGACTCGGCCTCAAACTCGCCCATGGCAGTGGCGGCGGTGGCGCGGCGCGAGACGATGCTGATGCTCGTCGACGGCCCCGCCGCGGGGACTACAAACGGCGACAGTATGTAAACGTGGGAGTCAGATCTCTTCGATCGCATGCTGTGCTTTAGTTAAGAGTGGGAAGAGTAGAATGAGATCGCAGGGAGGACGACTTGTCTGCCCAACAAGCCTGTGGGATCCAAGGGATCATGGCAGATCACCCAAATCGGCAATCGGGGCACTCGTGAGCATACTTGGCTAATGCCGACAACCTTGCCAAGCATTGCTCATCCAAGGACCAGATAGCCTTGGCCAGAAAGCCGCCTGGTGTTTACTATGTCACCAAATCCAAGATCTTAAATTCTGGGTCAAAGGAGACCTCCTCTTCCCATAACGTCCGCGTTCACGTGTACGTAGGTAACAATCGGGCACTCAAAGGGTGCTCGTCGTCGTCGGCGTCGTAGATCGTCTTTCAATGCTGGATGACTAGATTTTCCTTCCTCCAGACTCGACTGCGTCGATGCCATCAGAGTCGGCCGTGAGTATCCGCGACTCTGTGGGCATCGGGCTCGCCTCAAAAGCAACACCTCACGCACATCCGACCCCGCACCCCCCCCCCTCCTTTCCCTCACACACAAGGCATGTCGTCACCAGCAGCACATTGTGACCACATGCCGTCATTAGCAAGAACATGCACGTCTTGTTCGGCTCGTGTGCGCAAGAAGCGAGTCTGTGTCTCATGCCTCCGAGTCTTCTGTGCACCCTGTCTTGCCTTCCCCCTTCGCAACTCGGCGCCAATTGGGACGTCTACCTCGTCTTCTACTTTGGCTCCTCGTGCAATGGCCGCAACGACAACATCTACGGCTGGAGAATCCCCAACACATTCTCTTGATGTGTGTTCGCAGAGTGGGTCGTCTAGCCTCGTCTCGGTGGCCGCTGTTTCGCCTGCCTCTGCTGCTGCGTCTGGAATGGCCGGCGATGACACCTGGGGTGGAGGTGATGCGCCGCATCCGGGCTCGCCGCATCTGGGCTCGCCGGGACTGCGGGTGGAGAGAAAGCGCACATGGGTCGATGGTGCCGCGCTGCATGTCAAGGTAGCGAGGCGGAAGAGCTTTGTGACGACCGAGTCGATCGCCGCCGTGGCGCAGGCAGCCGAGGACCAGCAGGTCGGATGCCTCGCGTGCTGGATGGCGGATACGCAGCACTTGCTCGACCGGTGGAGCGAACGGCTGGCTCGGCTACGCGGAGAGACGCTGCCGTCGGTCCCACCGGCGTTTGTGTCGGGCTCAATCCGGGTCTGGCTTGTGGTCGAGCTGAAGGGGCTCGATCCGGGCTTGGTGCCGGGCAAGCGCCGCGACGGCGCTTTTGTGGAGATCGTCACCAATCCCGAGGCGCTGTTAGCAAGTGGAACCGATGGCCAAGTGGCTGGCAATGGAAGCAGTAAGGGAAAGAAGAAGAGCAAGAGCAAGGACAAGAGCAAGAAATCGTCGCGCCGCCCATCAATTGACCCATCGCTTGTCTCCCCATCGCCGCTGAGGCACGGGAGCAGCGATCGGCAGGTGGCTGGGCTGAGTCCAGCTATCAGCGGCGGCGGCTCGAGCTGCTTGCCGTCGACGGCGGCGGCGGCCGGACAGGTCTTTGCGCAGACCGAGCTTCGGACTTGGGATGCGCTTGCGGCGTCAGGCAAGTTTGAGGTCAGTCTCTACATCGATTTGCCTCTGGCAGAGACATCGATGGGCAAGACGCTTGTCTCGGTTTGCTGCGGGAGTGAGGACAAGGTGCTCGAGCCGATGATGGGTGGCGAGCGGGTGGCGACGGGGGCGGTCTCGGTCTCCAATCTTCTCAAGACGGGCGCGCTTTCTATCCGGCTTGACGTCGGTGGGGCGACGCGCGGGCGCCCGTTCTGCTTTGCACGACTGGCTGTGGTCCAGCTCGGGCGGGTGCCGTCATCCAAGGCCACGGTGGCACAGTCGTACGTGTTTGAGAGCGAGGCGGATGAGCCTGTGCTTGTCAGCGAGACGCTGCTCCCGTCGCCGTTTGCCTTCTCGGTGCCCAAGGCGCTGCTGGGCGTGTATGCTGCGCGACACGTGGATGAAGCACGGCAGCTGCTGGCGCTAGTAGAGACGCAGCTGGTGGGCGCAGTCGAGGCTGGCCCGCCGCGTGAGCTTGACCAGGCCGACGTCAACCGAGTCGACAACCACGTGACGTACCTCGAGTCGGTTCTGGCGCCGTGCCTCAAAGTGAGCAACGCTGACACCGAGGTGGCGTTCAAGCCGTCGACAACCAAGTCTGATCCGGCACTGCGGTTTGTGGCGACAAACATGCAAGTGATGGAGATGATGGTCAAGGTGCGAGGCAGCCCGTTGGCGCGATTTTCCATGGTCACCTGTGGCGCGCCTGCCGCTCATGTCTACGGTTACGGCAAGAATGCAGGCATTCTCGAGCTGCGCGAAAAGGCTGCGGCCGAGGCGCTCAACGTCTCGTCGGACAAGGCTGCGCTCAAGGTGGAGAAGATGGCGTGGCGGGCGCGGCTGCGGACCGAGGCCGCATTTGCTCAGGCGGTCAGTGCGCTCGTCACTGTCTTTGCCGAGTCGGTCAACGCCGCACTCCGCGCCGACGTCTCGCCACTTGGGCCGGACGAGGCGACGCTGCTGGACATCATGGCTGAGCATGGGTACTTGGTCCAGTTTGAGTCGCTGCTCTCGACGTCGGGCAAAGAGTCGGTCATGCTCTCGGACATGGCTGCGGTGGTGGAGCGGTTGGCTACAGTCTCGTTCCGGATTGTGCCTGTGGCGCGGCCCGGGGCGGTGGTACCCGGCTCTGCCGCCGACGTCGGGTCCGGCGTGGTGGGCGACGACGATGACGCCGAAAGCGTGCGGGCAGAGGTTGCGGCGTCGCTCGCGGCGTGCGACCTCTCGATCTTTGCCACAGACCCACAAGTGTCGCATCTTGCAACCGAGCGGAAGCGCACGGCATCAGACGCAATGTACGGCGACGACGACAGCGACGACGATGCTGACGCGAACTTGCTCTCGACGCTGCTGGCGTCCGACTCGGACGACCTGGCCGAGCTTTCAGCCTCGGACACGCCGCGGTCGGGGAGCGACGAGTGCGATGGCGGCGATGGGCCGTCAATTTTGGTGGCGGAGGCCTCGGATGGGTCTGCGTCGTCGGATGGCGACTCGTCAGAGCTGCCGTGGCACGACGAACTGACTCTGGAGCGGCGGGTCGAGCTGATGGCGACATTGGCTTCGGCGTTTGGCTCGTCGAGCGAGGCGGAGGATCGGGCGTCGGTGGTGGAGAACGAAGCATATAGCTTGTCGGCCTCGCTGGAAGAGTATATCGAGGCGATGGTCCACCACAGCGCACGTGCGATGGTCATGAACCGGCTCCGCAGCGACAAGAGTGCCCCAGCCGACAGCAGCGAGCACCCAGCTAGCGGGCAGGAGCTGGGCGCGTCCAGTCTGCGAAGCCGGTCACCTGCGATGAAGTCTCCCCGAGGTTTGCGGCGGACGCCACCGCCAGGATCAGAGCTGCTGGCACGTGGGCGCGGGGCGACCGAGTCGGCTGAGCCCGTAGTGGTTGACGTCAAGTCGCTTCGGCGGCGGCAGCGGCGGCAGGCACGAGTGGCGGCAAAGGCACAAGCGGCGTACGCACCGCCCGCACCGCTGACACAGCTCCCGGACCAGCTCTTCCTTGACACGACCCAGACCAAGATTGTAGACGAACGCGACGAGCGGTTCCAGGCTGCGCCGTCGACGCTGGCGCAGGCACCGGATGCGATGACTGACCTTGTGGGCCTGCTCCCTGACTCGGTGCAAATCGAAGAAGATGAGGCCAGCGGCGGGCTGGTCGTCTCGCTCCTTGCGGTGTACGATCCGCAGCTTGTGACGCTGCCAGCGCGAGTCATGGCCGGCGACGTCATTCGGGTTGTGCCGGTTCTCTTCTCGCAGGGCATCAACGAGATGCAGACCATGTCCAACTTGCTTGGCGGAGCACAGCAGCAGCAGGACATCAACGAGCACAACCTGCGAAAGCTGCAGCGATACTTTCGCAAGACGGTACTCTTGCAGCGTGGCGCGTTCCCAAACTACGACTACGGGACGCCGGCGACCAAGATCTACTCGCTGCTGGCGACCATCCACCGGACGGTGAAGCTCGGCAAGTCTTCCAAGTCGTCCGCACTTCTGCAGCGAGTGGCGGATGTCGTGCGGATGCTCGGCGGTGGGCGGGTGACCTCGTGCAAGTCGGCCAAAGACCGGACGTCGATGTCATCGACGCTTGAGCATGCGCGGATCCTGGCGTCGCAGTACGGTGCCAACGAGGTCCGTGCAACTGCGGCTGTGATGCGTTGTTATGGCGTGCGTCGGATGAATGCTGAGCTCAACGCCGGCAAACGGGCGTACGCGTTCAACCGGTTCCAGGCGCTCCTTCTGCCGTCGGCGTACAAGCCACCCAAGTCTGCGACGGCGTCCAAAGTGCAGAGCTGACAGCCATGTTGCTATAATAGTACTGTAGTATGGAGCGTGAGCGTGGATAACATGTTACTTCTTGCTCTTCTTGGTCTTGCCCTTCTTGGTCTTGCTCTTCTTGGCCTTGCCCTTTTTGGCCTTGCCCTTGGCCTTGGCCTTGGACGACTTTGCAGACGAGCCGTGGGCGAGCTTCTCGACCTTTTCGGCCCGCGAGTCGGCCTCCTTGAGGCGGTGGTCAAAGTAGTCGGCCTGCTCACGGTACTCGGCGTCTGTCTCTGCGATCTTCTTCTCGATGGCGCCAAACTTGGCCTGGAGGGCGGCGAGGCGAGCATCGAGGTCGTCGGGAACGGCCTTTGCTGAGCGGCGCGAGGTGGAGGCGAAGGAACGCTCGGAGAGGTCGCCGCGGAGGACAACGGCCATGTCGCGGCGGCGACGGCGATCGTAAGACGGGGCTGCGACAACGCGCATACGACGACGGCCGCGGCGCGGCAGGGCCTCGTAGTCCGAGTAGGTGTACGAGTACGTTTCGTAAGTGTACGAGTACGAGTAGGTCGGCTCCATGGCGAGCATCTGGGCCTGCAGCTGCATCTGGCGGAGCTGGGCCTCAAGAGCGGCAATGTCCTCCTCGTAGGCGTCGACGCGGCGGTCGCGGTCATCGAGGGCGTAGGCGAGCTGGTGGTTGAGGGCGTCGAACTTCTTGGCGAGCTTGCGGAACTGACGCTCGAGCTCTGAGTTGGACGACGAGTACGAGTACGAGGAGGAGGAGGAGGAGGAGGAGGACGACGACGACGACGAGCGGCTGGCCGAGTACGAGTAAACCTTGGGGCGCTTGCGGACACGGTACTTCTTGCGGCGCGGAACGTACTTGACGTAGTCCTTGGCGTATTTGTTCCAGACAATGTCCTCCTCCGAGTCTGACGGTGGCGGAGCACCGGCGTGGTCGAGGACCTCTTCTTCCAGCTTTTCGCAAAGACGGCAAAGTCGGAGTTGTAGTTTGTGGGCCCGGCCTTGTCGGCGTCAAAGTCTGCAAAGTCAGTGCGGTAGTTGGCACCGGCCTTGTCTGCGGCAAAGTCGGCAAAGTCGCCATGGTAGTTGGGATCCAGCTTGTCGTCGTCAAAGCCGGCAAAGTCGGAGCGATAGTTGAGGCCGACCTTGTCGGCGTCAAACTCGGCAAAGTCGTTGCGGTAGCGGCGGTCCGAGGCAGATGATGCGCCTGTGTCCGACGACGAGAACCGAGGGTCAGCGCGGAACGACGAGGAATGGGCTGGGGAGTACGAGTACGAGTAGGTCGGCGGCTTGCGGAGCTTGATCAGCTCGTAGAGCGAGCCGGACGACGAGCCCGAGGCATGACGCACAATGCGGCGCTTGCGCTTGACGGGCGGGAGGCCGTCCGAGCCATTGATGCCACCGTCGCGGGTCTTGGCGGCAATGAGCGCCTGCAGCTGCGAAATGTCCTTCTCCACGCGATCAGCCTGGGTTCCGTGGCCCATGGTGGCCTCTGCGAGCTGGTCCTCCAGAGCACGCATCCGCGCACGGAGCTCGGCCACGTCGGCCGAGTCTGCGGCCGAAGCCGACGACGACGCATCACCGGAGCGGGTATCGGTCTGGTACTCGTACGAGAAGCCACCCGACGAGTGGTAAACGCGCTTGAGCGACTTGCCCTTGCCCGACTTGCTCTTGCCCGACTTGCTCTTGCCCGACTTGCCCTTGCCCGACTTGGACTTGACCTTTGTCGTCTTCTTCTTCTTTGTCTTCTTCACAGTCTTCCTACGCCGGACCTTTTCCTGTTGTTCCGTGTAAGACGGCTCAACCACCGGCGAGGACGAGTACGACGATGGCGAGGACGAGGACGAGGACGAGGAGGATGACGACGACATGGTTGACGACATGTCAGTCTTCCTTGGCTTGGTTTTTCTTCGGCCACAACAACCACTGTCAACATGACAGAGTGAGTACGGGAGGGAGAGGGGGTGGTGGTGGTGGTGGTCTTGACATGCAAAGGTGGCATGGGCAGGGAGAGGGAGGGGCGGGGGAAGGGAGGGGGAGGGGGGGAGGGGGGGGAGGAGGGAAGGAGGGAGGGGGGGGGGGAGGGAGGGGACCATGATGGCCACCGAACGAAAAATCATTGGTTCGTTCGTTCGTTCGTTCGTTCGTTCGTTCGTTCGTTCGTTTGTTCGTTCGTTTGTTCGTTCGTTCGGCAACGGCCAGCGGCATGGGTTGGGCAAATGGCAGGGGGGGTTGGGGGGAGGAAGAGATTGGACATACGTAAGGGAGGGTGTGGGGGGAAGAGGGGGGTGTGGGTGGGGGGAAAGGGTGTGGGTATGGGGCGGAGTGTAGGTAGTGGTGGTGGGGGGAAGTGTGTGGTGGTGGTGGAAGGAGTGGGAGTGGGGTGCTCCAACGTGGTCGCGGGTGACAGTGGCGGGTGTGGAGGAGGGTAAGGTGACCGTGGCGGGCGGCGGTTAGCTGAAGGAGAGTTGAATGGAGAGGGGGAGGGGGGGGGGATACGGTGATTGCGGGAATCGATTGGGAATATGATGGGAGAATGAAATGAATGATTGAATGAGTGTGAGTGAGTGAGTGAAGGATATGGAAGAAAAGGGTGTGTGTGTCGCACACAGTGGCGGAGGAATCTGTGCGGTATGTCGCTGGCGGGTGGTAGTCCAGCGGGTGTGTGTAGTCTATGTGGTCACTCACAGAGCCAACCTGCTCTCTGTCCTGTAGTATGTTGAGAGGGAAAAAAGGGAAAAGGGAGTAGCAGGGATGGTAGTGGTGGTAGTGGGTAGGGAGAAGAAGGGTGGAGGAAGGAGGGAATGGCTAGTGGTAGTGCAAAGTGGGGGTGGGGGTGGGGGGGGGGTGGTGGGCGGAGGGACTCCCCCATCTACCCTTGCTCATTCCTACTCGAAGGCATTTTACTTTTTTTCATTCCTCCTCCCTCACTTTTACTCCCTACTCCCAACAGCTTTTTTTTTGAAAAGCACAGCACGTTTTTTTTTTTTTTTTTTTTTTTCTTTTTTCTTTTTTTTTTCTTTTTTTTA